TTTGACTCCCGAATGCAGCAAACCCGGAAGTGAGTTTACCAGTTTTCAGACGTTCTTTGCAAGCTGAACGTCCTGTGGGGCTTCCGCGGCTTCCGATTGGCTGCAGGAGCTTCCTGCAGCCAATCAGAAGCCGTGCTTTGATTTCCAAACGTTTTGGAAGTCGAATGGACTCGGTTCGACTTCCAAAGTACAACTGTACTGGCAAATTTGGGTTGCACCATTATACGTGGTTGTGCACAAAAACCACTTCCTGGAAAGGACTCTTCGCAATAAGGAAAGTGACAAGGAAAGATCAGCTAACATCCCCACAAACAGAGCATAATGAGTGCTCTTTGAAGAGCCAACGTCGTCTAATCTCTCTGCAGACGAACCAGGGCAGATGCACCGCAAACAGGTCTCTTGGAAGCGCCCAAAGTCTCACTTATGGGAAACTTTGTAATGACCTGTTTGCAACTCCACAGTGGAGCTATTTTTCTACTGACTTTCAGGCGCAAGTTTTAATTCAACACCTCGAGAATGTATTTTATCAGGCATCTTGTGAATACAAATAAATAAATTATTGTTTTCCTGGCCGCCTGTCTCGCAGGGAGTATGTGTAGCATATATCACAGCATGTTCATGGAGGGGGGCGAGGGAAAACTTGGGCTATTTTCGTTCCCCCATGCACCGCAACTGTGATATTTCCCGGATTTGAAATCTCCGTCGAAAATACGCAGGAGACTCAGCCTCTCCAGAAAAAGCCCCTAAAGGTTGTGCTAGCTGCTCTGTGTAATTATTTGTAGTTGTAAAAATAAGGGACGGGAAGTAGTTGGCTGACATAAAAAAGTAACCTCCCCGTGTTGATTCATTACTTTAATGGAGGCATAAGTAGGTTGTTAATCTGATTTCCTATATAACTCTGAAGAGTGCCGTTTCAGAGGGGAACATCGGGAGAGCTAATGCAGCACAAATGTTATTTTCTTACTGCAGAAATGTGTATTTCATTATGCTATAATCATTGCTCAGGATTGGAAAAGATAAGCGTGCGTGTGCGAGAGAGAATTATGCTCTTTAATCAGTTATTCAGTTACCTCCTCAGGAGGGGTTTGAGGTAATATCACTGATTTGCATTTTTAAAGTGCCTCGATCTCTTCCAACCCACACGCTCAGACAGAGGAGAGAGGACCAAGCGGCTTCACTGAAGGTGAAGTAGTAAGGCCAACTCCACTGTTTGTGCGAAGGAGGCTGTCGTTGCAATCTAACCAGCATCAGTACCTCTGTTGCTTCAAGAACCGTTTTCCCTAATATAGAGCCAGTGTGGTGTAGTGGTTAAGAGCAGTGGACTCGTAATCTGGGGAACTGGGTTCGCGTCTCCGCTCCCCCACATGCAGCTGCTGGGTGACCTTGGGCCAGTCACACTTCTCTGAAGTCTCTCAGCCCCACTCACCTCACAGAGTGTTTGTTGTGGGGGAGAAGGGAAAGGAGATTGTTAGCCGCTTTGAGACTCCTTCGGGTAGTGATAAAGCGGGAGATCAAATCCAAACTCTTCTTCTAATATTACTGCTAACTTAACTCATAGTGACTTCAGGAATCGCCATTTGGCTCTTGCAAAGCACGTTTTGTGAAATCTCAATTAACTTGTGGAATTGGCAAGGGCTTCTTCACTCAGGTGACTTTAAGGAAGAATTTGACAAACTGATGGAGATTTTATCAACAAGTGCTAGCTTTGATGGCTCAGTGGAAACTTCATGTTCAGAGACAGCGGTGTAATGCAGTGGAGCAAAACAGGAACAAGATTTTCCTTGCAGCTTGATAACTGAAAGCCTCTCCTGCTCTGGCAAGTGAATGAGGTGATAATTAGGCTTTCAAGTTTCTTTATGACAGATTAGCATAGAGGGAATCAGAAGATGAGGAAAGAATTGGGCAGAGGCTAGGTAGGTCTTTCCCTTTCTTTGATGGGGTTACTGCTTCTTGCTGGCAGTTTGCACTTCCTTGCAAGCCTATTCACGTTTCCATTAAAAGCTAAATGTCGCATTTCCTTTTGGGGGCGGGGAACCACTGTGTTTTACAACTTGAATCTATGCATTCAAAAGTAAGTGCCACCGAGTTTCCTCTGAAGAAAAGGCACATGGGATTGCAGTCACACAGAACCTAATACAGTGGTCATTATGCTGTTTACCACTGTCTATAAAACAATGTCTGTGTTTTTTGTCTCTCTTTGGGAACTGTCATGGTGAGCTCCTGCAGTTCTAAATTAACCACTGTTAACCTCTGTTCAGAGAGAGTCTTCATAGTAGACCCTAACAATTTCATTTAGAATCATAGAATCATAGAGTTGGAATAGACCACAAGGGCCATTGAGTCCAACCCCCTGCCAAGCAGGAAACACCATCAGAGCACTCCTGACATATGGTTGTCAAGCCTCTGCTTAAAGACCTCCAAAGAAGGAGACTCCACCACACTCCTTGGCAGCAAATTCCACTGTCGAACAGCTCTTACTGTCAGGAAGTTCTTCCTAATGTTTAGGTGGAATCTTCTTTCTTGTAGTTTGGATCCATTGCTCTGTGTCCGCTTCTCTGGAGCAGCAGAAAACAACCTTTCTCCCTCCTCTATGTGACATCCTTTTATATATTTGAACATGGCTATCATATCACCCCTTAACCTCCTCTTCTCCAGGCTAAACATGCCCAGCTCCCTTAGCCGTTCCTCATAAGGCATCGTTTCCAGGCCTTTGACCATTTTGGTTGCCCTCCTCTGGACACGTTCCAGTTTGTCAGTGTCCTTCTTGAACTGTGGTGCCCAGAACTGGACACAGTACTCCAGGTGAGGTCTGACCAGAGCAGAATACAGTGGCACTATTACTTCCCTTGATCTAGATGCTATACTCCTATTGATGCAGCCCAGAATTGCATTGGCTTTTTTAGCTGCCGCGTCACACTGTTGGCTCCATTCATGAATTTCTTCCTACGTGACATCTAGAAGCGATTTAAGAATAAAAACATCAATTAAAACATGCATAAATGAAACTTCCATGTTCAATGGCATTATATAGGATGCATTGGGGGAAGTCCTGTAGAACAGCTGTTACCTACAAGCCCTGGCTGTGAGCTTCCCATATCCATCTGGATGCAGAATACCCTTTGTGGATGCAGAATTTAGACAAGTGTCGGTGTGATCCGGCAAAATAGTTCATGCATTCCTTGGGAAAATGCAAACCTTATATAGGTGGTAATCTTCAGAGAGGTAGCCGTGTTAGCGTCTCGCAACTGAAACAACAGAGGGAGTCTTGAGACACATGAAAGACTGGAACATTTATTGCGAGAGAGCTTTCCTGGACTTTGGTCCACAGAGACATACACCATAATAAATTTGTCAGTCTAAAAGGTGTGTCATGGTACAGGTATTCTCCGAAAGCATTGCTTTCCTGCGGTGCTTTGCGGCACTCAGATTTCACAGGTTGTTTAGTTAAGGGCTCCGATTTGAGAACTTGAAAAGAGCGAGAAAAAGAGAAAAGCTTTAGAAATCCCTTTTTTAATCCCAGTCAAGGTATATTACGCTTGCAGTGCTGAAACATGACATAAGTGTGCATGAATATCGTCGAAAGGCTCTAGGGCTCAGGATGAGGGGGTATGTGTGGAATAGTAAATGACGATCTGGAAAGGAATGTACCTTATAAATCCCTCTGGGGGGAAATCACACTGGCAGGAGCTGGAGAAATTTGCTGCTTTGCATTTAGGGAAGAAATTGGAGAAACTATGTAAACAGAGAACAGAAGCGACACTTTCCGCCTTCCTTAATTCAAAAGTCATTGTCAGTAATAGCAACCGCATCACGAGGATGTAAAATAGGAATTTACCTAGCAGCTTTATAGAAGCAGAGTCTAACTTGGGCTGCGGCTAGTAGGAAGAGTCAGCCAGTAAACGAGGAACTTCGCAGGAAATACGATTATGACAATATATATCTGGGAGCCAGGGGCAATGTCAGAAGTGAGGTAGCTTGCTTTGCATGAGACAGAGCAGCAGAGACTTACAGGGTCTGTATCACACTTGGTTTGTTTATGAATATTGTAAGCATAACATAGTGGAAGCAGATAGACTGCTGTAGCAGGCAACACAACCGTTATACCTGCGTCAAATTGCCAAGTAGAACCAAAGGATGCTTTAGCTTGGTCGAGCTGAAAGAAACCTGACTGCTTCTTTCCAAATTTAATTGGCGCAATCTTCCCTTCTGTCTTTTTGCCTCCCCAACCACCCAAATTAAGGGTGAGTTTGAGAGTGCAAAGACTTATGAGACTTTTGCATCTCTTTTGTGGCCATCAATCTCCTTTCCTTAGACTGTATGCACAAAGTAGATGATATTCCTGTGCACAAATCCAAACAGCGATATTCCTGTGCACAATTAATAAATTGAACTAAAAAGCTTTAAATACCATATTGGCCAGAATATAAGACGCACCTGCGAATAAGCCACACCTTTAAAATTTGGCGGCTTGGGAGCCATGGACAGGACGGGCGCCATTGCCCTGCACTCCCAGGCTGCTCTCGGGGGGGGGGCACTTTGCCGGTGGTGTAAGGTCATGAATATAAGCCGCACTTTAACTTTTCATGATTGGAACTTGAAAAAAAAAAGTGTGTCTTATATTCGGGACAATACGGTAATTTTTTTTTTTAAAAAAAGATCCCAAGTTGTTTGGGGTGCAAATACTGTGAAATTAAACTGGCAAATTGCCTCAAGGAGCTACAAAAACCTCCTGGGGGACTATTGACTGCTGGAATATAGGGTATAAGATGATAGTGGGAATGCATGTGTTTATTTAAAAATGCAACAATATGAAATTGAGCTTGCATACACTTTTACCAAAAAGAGTTGCTGGAAAGGTATTGCCTCACCTGTAGGGGGACCACCAGAGAACCAGGTGCCTGACGTATTAGATACCACGATGGAAGAAAAGTAGGAGAGAGATGTCCAAAAGTAAATGGTTCTCAAAACTCACCAGTGGGGTGTTTTTGTTTTCCATGCAGATCATCCGCCGAGTCTTCAGAACCACTCCAGGCTCAGAACCCCGCCACCTCCACTTTCCCACGCTCACACGCCAAACCAACATCACGCGGCCTCCATCAACTCTCTCAATCGAGGGAACTTCACCCCGCGAAGCAATCCCAGCCCCGCTCCGACGGACCACTCCCTTTCTGGAGAGCAGCAAGCTGGGACGCAAGAATCCACGCACGCTCAGGACAACTGGCTGCTTAACAGTAACATCCCCCTTGAGACCAGGTAAGTCCTGTTCGGCTGGAGTGGTGTAAGATGCTCTGTTTGTGCCAGGTATCTAGTCCTCATGAATGTAGAGAAAAGGCTGGAAGTTATGTCTAGGACACCTGGTGATGCGCCAGAGAAATGAATGGGGATTTGGGCTTTGCGCATGTATGTTCATTATCTCTAGCCATGGATATACCGTATTTTTCGCTCTATAAGTCGCACCAGACCATAAGATGCACCTAGTTTTTGGAGGAGGGAAACAAGAAAAAAAATATTCTGAATCTCAGAAGCCAGAACAACAAGAGGGATCGCTGCGCAGCGAAAGCAGCGATCCCTCTTGCTGTTCTGGCTTCTGGGATAGCTGTGCAGCCTGCATTCGCTCCATAAGACACACATACATTTCCCCTTACTTTTTAGGAGGGAAAAAGTGAGTCTTATAGAGCAAAAAATACGGTATTTTATAGCGACGCCTCCAGCTGTCCGGACAGTATGAGGCCTGTTTCTCTGCCCTTCTGAAGCCGAACTTTTGAATCGACGTTGCCCTAAGCTGGACCCCTCGGTCCGCTTAGCCCAGGGCCTGCAGTGGCTCTCTCAGGTGTGAATCAGCGGCAATGAATACAATTTATGCTAAACAGATCAATATTTGCAGATGGATTTCCTTCCCATGGCGCGTTCCGAGCATAACATTTGCATTTTCCTTAGCGCAGAATTTCATTTTTACCGGGGTGCCGAATGCAAACATTTTCCCCATCTGCTGCTGTCCCTCTTGTTGAGAGAAGGGAGTGGGAAGGCAGAGCGATTTGCCTGCTCCCGCCCATCTTCTCACCAGTGACGGATTGTCTTCATTTTTGTTTGGCTTCCTCTACTGAGCACTGAGTTGCTCCTCTGCTCAGCAGGAAGGTGTCCTGGGAAGCTTCGCTAACGCAATGGTCACTTCATGCCATCAAGCATTCGTACTGAGTTCCAGCACCTCTTTTTCTAGAGAAATAGCACTGGAGCAGAGTATAACTCTTTGGAATCAATCAGTCGATAGAATAGTCCAGCATTGCTTGTTCGGACTGGCAGCAATTTTCCAGCTTCTCTAGTATAATAATACAGTGGTACCTATGGTTGCGAAGGGGATCCGTTCTGGAGGCCCGTTCACAACATGAGCAGAACGCAACCCGTGGTGGCGCGTCTGTGCACCCATGGGTTGCGATTTGCTGCTTCTGCGCATGTAACCCTTTCCGGTACTTCCGGGTTGCCGCAGGACGCAACCTGAAAGAATGTCTCATTCATGAAGCAAACATAACACGAGGTATGACTGTAATAATAATAATAATAATAATAATAATAATAATAATAATAATAATAATAATAATATTTATACCCCATCCACTCTGGGCAGCTTCCAACAGAATATTAAAACACGATAAAGCATCAAACATTAAAAACTTCCCTAAACAGGGCTGCTTTCAGGTGTCTTCTAAAAGTCAGATAGATGTTTGTTTCCTTGACATCTGGTGGGAGGGCATTCCACAAGGCAGGCGTCACCACCGAGAAGGCCCTCTTCCTGGTTCCCTGTAACTTCACCTCTCGCAGTGAGGGAACCGCCAGAAGGCCCTCAGAGCTGGACCTCAGTGTCCAGGCTGAATAAAGGGGGTGGAGATGCTCCTTCAGGTCGACTGGGCTGAGGCCGTTTAGGGCTTTCAAGGTCAGCACAACACTTTGAATTGTGCTCAGAAACATACTGGGAGCCAAGGTAGGTCTTTCATGGGACTTTTTTTCATGCAGAGCACATCGTCTGCCACTGAGTTATGGCTCTTCCTTACTTTCAGTGGGGACTTAGTTTAGCTTTCGTTTCCTTTTTCTTTTTTAGTAGTAGTAGTATCTTCATAGCTTATTCCTGACGCATTTTCACTTGGACGAAGAGAAAGAGGAAATTGCCTCGCAGTCGTCTTCCACAGTTTGGAAATATCATCGGCATTAACCGTAGCTTGTAAGGCTATTTCCCCCATTTAAAACGGGAATGAGAAACATAAATTCAAAATGGGCTTACGTGTGCGTGCATTCTTTTGTATAGCTTCGTCCCCCCGAAGCGGAATAAATCAATATCCTATTTAAGAAACTGGAATCAGTCAATATATTGAAAAGATTTAGCCTCCTAGCTGTGCCGATCGCAGCGAGTATAATTGTAGTCTACCGCACAGGAGAACTTGATCTTGTTAAGACATAATGGGGGAGATGTCATCGGATGCATTTTCCGCTGCCTAAAATATTGCTCCGGTAAGTCTGGAACCCTACAAAGCACCACATCAATCAATTAGCATCCTTCCCTATTAGTCTCTCCCTCCACTTCCCTGAGTTCCTTCGCCACATCTCTTTCCTTGCCTTCTGTCTTTGGATAATTGCATGTTACAGGTGAGTCTTTATCGCTCCTGAGAAACTCCCATCACTTTTTAAAAGTGTTGTCAACCACAGGTTGTCAGGAACTGCTGCAAATGTACCCATAGTCTATGGGCACATCTAATCGGATCTAATTTGGGGGCCCTGGTGTGTTGACTTAAGGGTTTCTGACTTCTTTCCGGCCCACCCCCTCCCCACTTTTGCCACTGAGCATTACAATACTGCCATCTATCAGATCAGGCTATTTGTCTGTCTAATCCAGTATTGTCTGCTCGGACCGGCAGTAGCTTTCCAAGATCTTAGACTGGGGCCTTTCTTATGCTAGAACACTGAAACCCATCTATACCAAATGGAGCTGAGTGCTGGAAGATTCGAGACAGACAAATTGCTTCTTCGTGAAGCTGATAGGTAAACTGTGGAACTCTCTGCCACAAGAAGCAGTGGTGTCCACCAGCTTGGATGGCTTTAAAAGAGGATTAGACCAATGCATAGGGGGAGAAGGCTAGACATGGCTACTAACCACATTGGCTGTGTTCTGCCTCCATTGTTGGAGTTCGGCTCTGAATACTAGTTGCTGGGAATAGCAGGTGGCAGTGCATTTTTTGCTCAGTCCTGCTTTCAGGCTCCTCACAGGCAGAATGCTCTTACCTTCTTATGCTACCTGATCTTCTCAACTGGACCTGGAACTGATTGAGCACGAGATTAGATTAGCTCCAGCCTTTCCTTGAAGCAAATTGTCTCATTGGAACTGTCCGTGGTGCTGAAACTGCTGCCTGACCAAACTACTGCCGGGCGTCTCACATTTCTTGGATTATCAGTCTCTTTCACAACGTGCATACAGTGGTACCTCGTAAGACGAATGCCTCGCAAGACAGAAAACTCGCAAGACGAAAGGGTTTTTTGTTTTTTGAGCTGCTTCGCAAGACGATTTTCCCTATGGGCTTGCTTCGCAAGACGGAAACGTCTTGCAAGTTTGTTTCCTTTTTCTTAACACCGTTAATACAGTTGCGACTTGACTTCGAGGAGCAACTCATAGCACGCGGTTGTGGTAGCCTTTTTTGAGGTTTTTGAAAACTTTGGTGATTTTTGAAGCTTTTCCAAAACTTTTCCGACACCGTGCTTCGCAAGACGAAAAAAATCACAAGACGACAAAACTCGCGGAACGAATTAATTTCGTCTTGCGAGGCACCACTGTATATAATAATAATTTATTGCATATACCCCACCCATCTGGCTGGGTCTCCCGGGCACTCTAGGCAGCTTCCAACAGGAGATTAAAAATACATTAAAACATCAGTCATTAAAAAACTTCCCTAAACAGCGCTGCCTTCAGATGTCTTCTAAACGTCAGATAGTTGTTTATTCCTTGGACATCTGATGGGAGGGTGTTCCATGGGGCAGGAGCCACCACCGAGAAGACCCTCTGCCTGGTTTCCTGTAACTTTGCTTTTCGCAGTGAGGGAACCGCCAGAAGGCCCTCAGAGCTGGACCTCAGTGTCTGGGCTGAACGATGGGGATGAAGACGCTCCTTCAGGTATACTGGGCTGAGGCCGCTTAGGGCTTTAAAGGTCAGCACCAACACTTTGAATTGTGCTCGGAAACGTACTGGGAGCTGATGTAGGTCTTTCAAGACCGGTGTTATGTGGTCTCGGCGGCCGCTCCCAGTCACCAGTCTAGCTGTTGCATTCTGGATTACAGTCATACCTCATGTTATGGACGCTTCAGGTTACGCCTTTTCAGCTTTTAATGTTTAATAGGTTATTGTATTTTAGTGTTCTGTTGGAAGCCGCCCAGAGTAGCTGGGGAAACCCAACCAGATGGGTGGGGTATAAATAATAAATTATTATTATTATTATTATCATCATCATCCTAGCTACTCGCCGCAATGGCTATGTTCAGAGATCTATCTATCAGTTGCAGACAATTGCAAGTGGGGAGGCTGCAACTGTGGCACCCGGTTCCTGCTTGCGGACTTCCCAGGTTGGCCACTGTGAGACAAATATTCTGGACTAGGTGGGCCATTGGCTTGAACAGCCAGGTGCTTCCTACATTCTGAGTAATGACATCACACCGTTCTTCCATGTTACGTGGAAGACGGGAGCGAGCTGATTTGGGTCCTTATTTTCAGCATTGTTCCTTATGAAGTCTAGCTGCTTACTCCCTCAAGGCTTTCTAAAAGGCATGAATACAAGGAATATCACCCCCCAAAAAAAGACTTAGGAACATGTCCAAGTTTCAAAAATAAAGCCATCGTTCTTTGCAGCTTTCTGCTCTCCTTCCTATTTGATTCCCCCCCCCCTTCATCTTGGCTCAGAGGGCTGCCTCCTGTCTCCCTCCTCCGCTAAGCCCCTTCCTTCTTCTATTCTGTTATTGACGCTTGCATTAAACATTATACAACCCAACATTCTGCCTAGCGTTATATTGGCAATCTCCCGCTGAAACGTACAGTTCCATTGTAGAAACCCATTTTTACACACAGGCTTTTAACTACTGATAAATTCATATTTATATCCTCGCTGCTACCCTTCTTGATGGTGCATCCACCAAAAGCACTCTTTTTTTTTCCTTCTTTTTTTACTGCCTTATTCTTGACATACAACTTCTGAATACGCCGGGCTTGGTTTTTAACGGTTTCCGAGCCAGCATTTCAACTCACGCAGCTCGATCCTCTACACCTCAAAGCTATAAATATGAATTGTGTTTCTCTTCTCAGGATCAGGAAGTGGCCAAAGACTCGCCTTCCCAGCAAAGAGTGGGGGGAATGGAAGAAACTATTGCCCCTCACCTCTGCCAAGGGAAAGTGGGATTCCCCCCTCCCAAAAAAATGAGAGCACTTTATAGAGCAAAAGTGGGGAACCTGAGACTCTTCAGATGTTGCTAGACTCCCTAATACCATCATTTCTTGCCCCTATGGCCAGTAGCCAGGGGTGATGGGGTTTGGGGACCCCCAATATGCAAGGAAGCAAATTAAGTTTGGTTCCAACTCTCATTGCATAACACTTGAAAACGCAATGCTCTGTGAAAGGGATGGGGCACCTGTGGCCTTCCCATCAGCACCAGGAATTTATTTTATTTATTGAATTTATTTGTTGTTTAGTCGTTTAGTCGTGTCCGACTCTTCATGACCCCCTGGACCAGAGCACGCCAGGCACTTCTGTCTTCCACTGCCTCCCGCAGTTTGGTCAAACTCATGCTGGTAGCTTCGAGAACACTATCCAACCATCTCGCCCTCTGTCGTCCCCTTCTCCTTGTGCCCTCCATCTTTCCCAACATCAGGGTCTTTTCCAGGGAGTCTTCTCTTCTCATGAGGTGGCCAAAGTATTGGAGCCTCAGCTTCAGGATCTGTCCTTCCAGGGAGCACTCAGGGCTGATTTCCTCAGGAATGGAGAGGTTTGATCTTCTTGCAGTCCATGGGACTCTCAAGAATCACCTCCAGCACCATAATTCAAAAGCATCAATTCTTCGGCGATCAGCCTTGCTTATGATCCAGCTCTCACTTCCATACATCACTACTGGGAAAATCATAGCTTTAACTAGATGGACCTTTGTTGGCAAGGTGATGTCTCTGCTTTTTAAGATGTGAATCCAAGCCAGTAGGTTTTGGTAAAGCCGGAAAGGAAGACCCTACAAGGCTGAAAGTCCAGTAGCATCACAGAAACTTTCATATAATAACAATAATCATTTATTATTTATACCCTGCCCATCTGGCTGGGTTTCTCCAGCCACTCAGGCAGCTTATTTCAAGATAGGAAGGTTATCCTCTAATGTTAGGGCATTCATAGTAAACCACTGCTGTCAGGAATCTCCTCCGCTCCAGCCTCATTTGCATATCAAGGTATGATCACCCTGCTTACATGGTCGCTTATTCTTGGATGAAATAAGGGTTGACTCAAGAGCTCCTGACCTCGCCGAGAGTGACCTTTGTTGACTTGTTTTCAATTGGCTCCAGTGTCTGATTCAGCTTTTGAATTTTAAGCAAACCAGAGGTTGACGTGAGTTCAAGGGTGCTTATTCAGGGGATGTGTACAGGGCATAATTATGTTGTCTGCCTGTTTTCCTGGATAAAATGAATTGGTACTGATGTGTCTCAGGCTGTATACATTCGGAGTGAAAAAACCAGACACAGAATTGTAACTCTCGAATGTTTCTTGAACTATGCGTTCCAGCAATACAAGGTAAGGATATCTGGCGGGGGGGGGGCGCTTGTCTTAGGCGCTAACAATTCTCCTTGCAGCAGCAACGTGAAATGTAACCCAAAAGAAGAAAGAGAATGAGATTCAGTCTGATTGAATTCTTATCTGCGGATCGGCAAGAATAGGGTTTCTCTAGAAAGATTATTGACTGACTGGCGTAGTCTGTCTTCTTGCCGGAGCACCCACAGAGCCAGACTCATTACTAGGGACGCTTGCTGCGCGAAATTAAGATGTCCAGTGGATTAGACAGATTCATGCGCGATGGGTTTGGACAGCTGTGTTGGCAGCAAAGCCATGAAATGCGAACATAGGCACCAAACAATGTTTTGTGCTCACAGATCTGTGTGTATATGTGTGTGTAGATATAGCTATCTATTGCCTTGGATGTCTGAAATCTGATGAATGTTGTCATTTACCTGTGACCGTTGGCAATCCCAGATGAATTTTGTGAATGTCTGAAAACTCCAAAGAGGATAACGCCGGCTGAGTGTTCCTATCACCCGAGTGTGATGGTTGCCATTCACGACAAAAGGAATTTTCACACGTTCCCAAAGTTCGTGTCGGGTCACCGGCCTTGAGACGTGAATGCAAACATTCAGCAAACGTTAAGATATTCGTGGCGATACACACACGTATATATTCTTGTGTGTGCGCATACATAGAGTAGATATGTGTATATATGGAAGTGAACATTCACAAATGCTATATATGTATATGTTGTAACATGCTATACATATCAATGAGTGGCCCATCATTCTAATCCCATGCACAGCTGCACTTATAACCATTTGTGGGTTTATGAGGTCACACTTCATAGATGCATGTCTCACTTGGCTTCATTCATGTTTCCATATGTATGTAGAAACATAGCAAAGCAGACATTCCTAGAGACTTTGCAGGACAACCTAATTGAGATGGACATTCTCACCTCCTCCCGACATGACGGTGCTTTCAATGATGGGTACGTTGACTCTTCATGTGGTCTTTGCTCTCTTAATATTGCAACCATTCCCCCGGTCCTTTGCATGACAAATTAATCTGTCATATTATTCTTTCCCCTCTCACTTTCTTGTCTCACATAATCTATCCCCCCCACCCTATTTTCCTCTCTTCCCCCCACCTCCTCCCACCACCCCCCAAAAAAGTCGTAATCGGAACAATGAGGTCCATGACAGTAGGGAATGCAAATCGTCCTGCACATATTAATGGCAGCCTCGTTAATATGCCAATCCATAGCATCTCATTGGCTTCCTCCTGACACCTTGAAAGCCATTTCACTAACACAGAGGCAGCTGTAGTGGGATAGCAGGTCTTCTAAGACATCTCACTGTGTTTCGCTTCGTGCTTCGTTTGAGATGGTTTAAATGTCCTAATCCGATGTTTTCCAGGTTTCACGTCTGAACTTTTTAGGGGGTGGGGAGTGTCTTTGTGTCCATTTGACAACAGCGGTTGTTTGCTTTGGCGACACTTTTTTTTTCCACGTGTCCACCATTTTGATTGGAGAAGTTGGCATGTATTTCAGGGAATCGTGGAACTGGCAACATTTTGTTTCCCTAAAGGGTTGGTGGTGGTGTCTCAGTAAGAGCCAGTGGGACCACATCTAACAAAGTCTTTACACTCGTGGAACAACTTCCACTCATGCAAACAAATTTCGCTCCATCACCTCTTCTTGCACCCCCCCTGCACCCCCTTCCAAATTTGTTTGGGGGTGGGATGGGTGGACCCAGAGAATATTTGGAGGGTGGGCATGCAGGGAGAAGGCCTGTAAGTTCCATTGACTGAGCAGAAGGCATTCTGCAAGCGGAATGCAGCCTGTTCTTTTTTAAAAAAGAAAAATACTGATCAGTGCAATTGATCAGGATAGTTTTAACCCCTGGTCTCAGGGCTGTGGTCCTGGAGGGAACTCCCCCAGAAGCAAGTCTAGGGCTGGTCAGTACGTAGATAGGTGAGCTGCCTATGAAAACCTTATGTTTGCCATCTGGGCCTTCACAGAAGAACAGGAGAATGTCAATGATGTAAATAAAGCTTGTCATTTTGGACCACATACCAGTGATCCATCTTAGAGCAGGTTTTCTCAACCTTGGGTCCCTAGGTGTTGTTGGACTTCAGCTACCATCTTTCCTAGCCAACATGGCCAGTGGTCAAGGATGATGGGAATTGTTGTTGTTGATGATGATGGATTGTATTTGAATACCGCCCTTCATCCGAAGATCACAGGGCAGCGCACCGTATGAGAACACAAAATACGTAATAAAAACAAGGGCAAGAACATGCATAACACAAAAACCAACAAACGAATAACTCCCCTCCCACAAACACAGTTAAAAGGACATAGATTTTTTAATCAGCCCAAGGCCTGGTTACAATGGAACACTTTCACCTAAAGATGTATAATGAAAGCGCCAAGCAAGCTTCCCTGGGGAGAGCATTCCACAGACAGGGAGCCACTGCAGAAAAGGCCCCGTTCTCATGTTGCCACCCTCTGGACCTCTCGTGGAGGAGGCACACAAAGAAGGGCCTCAGATGATGATTGCATGGTCCTGGTTGGTTCATACGAGTTGTGGTTCAAGAACATCTGGGGACCCAGTGTTGAGAAAGGCTGATCTAGAATATTCAGGGTTGGGCAACCAAGGTGCCTTAGGAAGAGGTTCAGCAAGCAAATCATGGTGGTGTGAATTAATTAAGTCGTGTGAATGCAACACAGGATGAGGCACTTACAGGGGAGACTTGGCATCAGACAGCCCTAACCTCACCCATGTTGACTGGCTATCTCAGTGGTGTAAGCCCACTGATGGGAGGTGTGGGAGGGCGCCACTACCAAGAAGGCCCTCTGCCTGGTTCCCTGTAACTTGGCTTCTCGCAGCGAGGGAACCGCCAGAAGGCCCTCGGTGCTGGACCTCACTGGACCTGGATCTGTGTGCCATTAACTCTTGGATCCACTTCTCTTGGTCTCCCTGAGTTCTGCACATTGGACACCTGTCACCACTGTATACAGCCAATGTAATTTGGCTTTCTGATGGAGACATGAATGAGTAGCTTCAGTGTTCTTTAACAGGCTTACGTTTTTTAATTTCAGTGGATGCATTTTCTTTCTTTCTTTCTTTCTTTCTTTCTTTCTTTCTTTCTTTCTTTCTTTCTTTCTTCTTCATTCCTGTTTTTACAAAGCCTTTGTCCTCAATGCATGGCACTGTTTTTATGTGTGTGTGTGTGTTTAGCCAAGTGCTGAGTTTAAAATCCTCCTTGCACCTCAATCACTTGCAACCTCTCTCTTTCTCTCCCCGCAGGCACTTCCTGTTCAAGCCGGGAGGCACCTCTCCCCTCTTTTGTACAACGTCTCCGGGATACCCCTTGACGTCCAGCACTGTGTACTCGCCTCCCCCTCGACCTCTTCCCAGAAGTACATTTTCTAGGCCGGCCTTTAACCTGAAGAAACCCTATAAGTACTGTACGTGGAAATGCGCTGCCTTGAGTGCTATCATCATCTCGGTCACGCTGGTGATACTGCTGGCTTATTTTATCGGTAAGCTTTCCCTTCCTTTCTGGGGACTTTCTTTCTCCTTCGACCCTGTGAAAACGTCAGTGTTGTTGTTGCTGTTTTCATTGGGTGGTTCTGCTCCTTTGGCCGAGTTGTCCAGAGAGAACCTCTGCCTTTGTCTACTGTGCGCTGCCTGTAACAAGTTTGATTTCTCCGCTGGGGGGCGGGGGAAGATGAAGGAATTTGCTGGACAGATCTACTCCCAACTTCTCCAATCAGCTGATCAATAAGTGAAAGGCCTAAGTACATATAGGAACTCTTCCAGTAGACGTCTAGAACATCAGGAGGATAGCTCCACAAAGTTGCTTATGTTTTAAACCAGGGTATCCCATATTTGGGTCTCCAGCTGTTTTGGGACTACAATTCCCATCATCACTGACTAGTGGTCCTGCTAGCTAAGGATGATGAGAGGCGTAGTCCAAAAACAGCTGGAGACCCAAGTTTGGGAAACCTTGCTTTAAACTGTTGTGCCATATGCTACAGGTACCGTATTTTTCGCTCCATAAGACACACCTGACCATAAAACGCACCTAGTTTTTAGAGAAGGAAAACAAGAAAAAAAATATTCTGAATGAAACAGTGGATGTATGGTTTTTGTGGTTCATGCTGTGGCCACAGACATGTGATGATGGTGAATTTGGGGTGACCCAATGCAAAAATCCTGAGGATCCATGGGCTTTTACCTCCCCCCTCCCAGACAGCCTCCTTTATCTCTAGCGTCCCTTATCTCCCTCCCGATCCCTTTCTGATCAGCTGCTTCCTTTTAGCACCCTCTTCCCTCTTGTTTGCCTTAGTGTCTTTTCCTTAGCTGGAGCTGTTTTTTGCTCCTCCTTTTCTTCTAATTTCTCTCCTCATTGATTTAGTCTTCCTGTCTCCTCTCCTTGCAAGTTTGCTGTCTTTACCTCCCCCTCTCCCAGGCAGCCTCCTTTATTGCTAGCATCCCTTACCTCACTCTCAATCGCTTGCCAATCAGCGGCTTTGTTTCAACACCCACTTTCCTCTTTAAAAAAAAAAAAGCATGATCTGCTTTTTGCCCCTGGGCAATTTGGCTCCAGGGACCACGCATTCGCTCCATAAGACACACAGACATTTCCCCTTACTTTTTAGGAAGTGTGTCATGGAGTGAAAAATACGGTAAATGCATATTCTGCTCTTAGAGAAATGGAGACATCTACAAATACCTAGAGGGCAAGCAGCAGATAACAGCTCACTTGGAGTGGCGGCATGTGGTTACTTCCTTTTTGGTGATTTCTGAATTTCGACAGGGAAACATCTTGTGGGAAGGGAGGGGGCAGGTTAGTAGAAGAATCAGCTTGCCCCCAGAGTACCCTAGTACTCCACTTAACCTTGAGATTAGTACCCGTTCTTGATTTCTTTGTTTCCACCCCCTTCCCCGATAAATTAGGTGAATAGAGCTGCAATAGGGGTGGTAGTGGTTGGAAGAGAGGTCTGCAGGTTTACCCATCTATGAACTCTGCGTAATTTGGGGCAAAACATTCCAGATACAAAATCTGGAATGTTTTTTATCCCCTTTCAGAATCTTCACACAATAGCTGGCAAACATGGAAAGTGGTTTCCTCAATTTTCCAGCTTTTCCAATACTTTTAAGGCAAGAAAGGATTGAAGACTTTGAGGGGTAGGGGCAGTGATCTTGCGGGATAAGGATAAAGGCTTTCAACTGTGTCTTTACCCAGCCCATTTCTGATTCAGTTCTTTTTTGGGGTGCTCTTGGGCACAACAGCCTCCAAACTCTGTTATGTAATAATTAAATCATCTCTCAGAATTATTGCGTAATGGAGCAGGGAGGCTGTCTCCGGAATGTGGTTGTGCCTAAGCGAGTCCCTGAAGAATTCAGCTTGTAATGCGTCAGTCTCAGTGAAAACACACAGACCTCTTTGCGCCTGGAATTCTCACCCCCATTTCTTTTCCTGTATTTTCTACCTGCCTGCTGCTCTCTTCCTGACGATGCTTCTGCAATTCAGAAAACAAATACTTATGCTTTATGTCTCTCTTTTCTCCTTCACTGAGACACCAGATTAACATGTCAGTCCCAGTTTTGTATTTGTTTCCATTAGGGAGAAAAAAAGCCCTGAAACCTTACAAAAATAACAACAAGAAACCCACAACCCAATAGATGGGGATGGTTGTGCTGCTATAATTATGTTCCTAGGACTCTTTAAGCCTAGGTAAAAGCACTTGTTCCCATGCAGCAGAATTGAGCTCCCTGTTGATTTTGGTTTCGCTTCTTCCATGCCATCGAACGGTAAAGCATTAGTGTGCAGCTTGCTGCAAGCTGCACATGTGAGTAGTAAATAGGACTTTCCTGCTTGCATCCCTCTTGCGTGCAATTTGTTACCAACATATTATTTCTTCTGCTGCTGTATTCTTCCGGCAGATATTTCTTTAATGGCCGAATCTCTCTTCCACCCCCAACCCCGGCTCTCAAAAGATTGCCGCCGTGCTGACGGTCACCGGTTTTTTTAGCGTGCTCCATAGCAGGAGGAGAAGTGATTAATCAGCGAGCATTAAATTGATAGCAGCTTGATGGAAGGTGCAGTCACCTTTCATCATTTGCCAAGTATGTCCAACCCCGGTGTCCCATTTATCTTGCGTTATCTTTATGCGCCAAGTAGATGTTGGGACATTATCTCCGTGTGTCAGAGGAACTTGTCCCTAGTTCCTGTAGAACTTTGGCATCCATCAAAAGCGGGCAGGACTTGTTGGCCAGGGGGGTGGGTTGGATGTGTGAAAAGCTCTTCCTCTTCCTCTTCCTCTTCCTTCCTTCCTTTCTTTTTTTTACATAAGCATTTTGGGCTGTCCGTTTCACCTGTTCCGTTAGTGCAACGATTTATACTTGCGCAACAAAATGTCCACTCTCCCCACCCCACCCTTGTGTGTGCCCCACACGGGGCCGGATTTAGGTTTGATGAGGCCCTAAGCTACTGAAGGTAATGGGGCCCTTTATGTGTCCAAGTGTCCTTTGTCAACAACAAATAGTCCTGTTTTTTGTATTGAATATATGCTATATGGTAATTTATGGAACCTAATAGGTATCTCAAGCCATTTGCACATGTTGCCGTGCAGCCATCCATGTAGAATGTAGGTACCCTGTATATAGAAATGAGCAAACCAGTGATATTTTAGGGAGCAAGAAAGCACATGACTTACATCATAGGAGTCTACACAACACAAAACACTGTTGCTGTACGTGGGTTTTATTTTATTTGTTTTTTATTTGTTTGTTATATTTTGGAAATGTGCATCCAGGTTTTTTTCCCTTTTTTTGGGGGGGGGGGCAAGAGAGTGGGGCACTAAGCTATAGCTTGTTTAGCTTGAACGTAAATCTGGCCTAGTAATTGCTGATCGGAAGGTTGGCAGTTTGAATCCCCGCGACGGAGTGAGCTCCCGTTGCTCAGTCCCTGCTCCTGCCAACCTAGCAGTTCGAAAGCACGTCAAAGTGCAAGTAGATAAATAGGTACCACTCCGGTGGGAAGGTAAACGGCGTTTCTGTGCTTTGCTCTGGTTCGTCAAAAGAGGCTTAGTCATGCTGGCCACATGACCCGGAAGCTATACGCCGGCTCCCTCGGCCAATAAAGCGAGATGAGCACCGCAGCCCCAGAGTCGGCCACGACTGGACATAACAGTCAGGGGTCCCTTTACCTAAATCTGGCACTGGCCCCACACCCTATCCAAATTGCCCATAGAGGTTGGGGGAACTATTGGAACAGATTTAGGGAGCATTACATGGGGAAGAGAGTTGGAGAACGTTCCTTTGCACAAACAGACAGGGCATTTATGTAGTGCTACTTTGGATATAAACCTTAACACTTTTTCCTATCCTGTCTGTTGGTTTTGAAGTATCTTCCACATGCCAAAGTAGATTGGCAAGATGCACCAAAGCTAAAGGTGGTGGTGGTGGAGAATTATTGGTCATGTTATGCTGGTGGGGATCATGAGTCCATAATTTCCAAATTCTAAAAGAATTATTCAAAATCAAAAGTAATTGGTTGAGCACTGCATAAACATAGTTAATGAGGAGAGCAGCTATCAGGTCCACTGATCTAATCACCATGTTAAGGGGGGGATGCAGATATTTAATTAGATTTAATGAAAAACTGTGTTTAATTTCAAGTATAATCAATTATTAATTAACGTAATGAGTGACTCTGACTGGGTTTACTAATTAACTCATTTAAAAATTATGAATAACCTTTTCATTTGTAATTATTTTCTACATCCTGTCAAGTTGAGGATAAAAATTGTATCACTAACTAGAAATCACACACCCACACCTTATAAATCTTTCCTCCACATTTTCCTTTCCTTACTAAAGTAGAAGTGTCAGGGAAAGTACTTCTTTTGATTCCCAACTTTAAACCAAAACCCAAGAAACAGACTTTTACTTTCTGAACTTTGGGGTACGTTTCTAGGCTTACGGTTTTAAATTGTTTTGCTCTTCTAGGACAATATTTAATCTTTGGTTTCGTAGCACTGATTTCAATTGAGTTGCGGTATTTAATTTTAAGAAAGGTTAACAAAATGCATCTTGTGTTGGCTTTGATTATGTTAAGGAGTGGAATGAGCTTGAGTTCATTGCATTAAAATGTCTAAACAATATTGGATAGTTCACTAAAGTAACTCAGAGCAGTGGCTCTAGTCTAAAAATTCTACTGCCGTGGTTAATTTTGTTATCTCAAGAGTGTTGGTGTATATCATTTTCCGCTCTTTTCTTAACCCATGGCATGATTTTTTACAAATTTATTATGGCATAAACGTTCAGATGCTGGCCATAAATAGCAGGCCACATATTACATAGTCATTATTTTGTGAATTACCATGTTTAAATACTGTGCATTTCCCCCCCAAAAACATTTTTTTATTGATTTTCCACATTTATAACAAAAAGAAAAAGAGAGAGACACATTACAATACAATAAACTAAACAATAAACTAAACACAAAAAATAGTTTCTTCCAATATCTAAT